TCGGTCTTGTAATTTAAGGGTGGTGCTATAAAGACAATCTTTTTATCTCATTTTTTTATACAACTTCCACATATTATTAAATAAGTAGATACATTTAATGTCACAGATTTTACATTAATTAAAAAAATTAATAATTTTAATGATATGTCAAGTTGTACAAAAAAAGGGACAAAAAAGTTAAAAAATTGTACAAAAAGCATTTCTCGTAATTTAATATGCTTCATTGTTATTGTTTGATATTTGTAGCATGAAAACAAAAGCTTTCCATAATAATAATAAAACTTCCATAATTGTAATGGGGTGTGGATTTATTTATTTATTTTATATTAGGTTTTATAATGAAAAATAACCACCTCTTATCAATTAAGTTACTCTAATTGCATATTATACATATCAAACTCAAAATCTTTTATTTTTATTAAAAAAAATTATCATTAAACTTTGTTTTTTATTTTGATTACACAATAAAAAAACAATTCTCTTATTTTTTACTTTACCCCACTCATATACTATATAATTCAACTTCAATACTTTATATTTTTAATGAAAAAAATTATTATTAAATTATTTACATCTTTCAGCTATAACTAAACTATTAATCCACCGTCCAATGGGATGTGACCCCAAAAGCTTGGCTGGTGAAGCACGAGGCCGTGATGGTTGAGGCCGGTTCTATTAAATGACCATATTTAAGGATATCGTAAATTGGCTGGCCCATTAATTGAGAGACGCCAACTTTGGAAAGATTGTCTTCTTTCTTAAAGCCTGCTTTACCTGAGTACTGGATACTGACACAAGGCTGCGTGCTTACATGAACTATCTAAATATGGGCTGAGTCCATGAGTTTATAATTGCCCACTACTAGATTTAGGAAAGAATTTAACAAGAGAAAGTCAGCAGAGGAAAGGAAAAGTTTTTAGGTTAAACTCTCAATTTGATCCTTTAATTATTGTATAAATTTTTGAATTATTTTTTAAACTAAAAAATCCATGATGTACTCTTAAAATTTTCTAAATTTGGTTCTAAGGTAGTCTGTTTATTTAAAAACAGTTAACATGTTTTGTTATTAATATAAACATAATCATCAAGTAACGATTTTATATTATTAAATAATGAACTAAGTCAATTATTTTTTGATAAAATGATTAATTTAGAGTCAAATTTAAAAATATTATGAATCGAATCAATTTTTTTTTAACTTAAAAATTAATTCAAGAGTCTCTACAATAGTTGGAAGATTAAATTAAAAGTTTAACCTAGTTTTTATTCATGATTTATTTAACTTTTTGATAATATAAAGAAAATTATGGTCGATAGACGACAGTCATATGATGAGAGATTGTCCATCAGGGGGCGTTTGGTATGGTTTTTCGATAAACATTTTCCTTCTGGATTTTGTAAGAATATTTATAAATTTATATACCTTAAAATTATAATAAATAAAAAATAAAAACAATATTTCTAATTTTTATTTTTTCTAATGTAATTCTTTAACTTGTAAACTTGTTTTCTCACAAACGAAGTTTTTTACAATTTTTCTTATATGTTACCCATTTATTAAATTTTCTTATTTATTTTTTATATATTAATTTTTTACCAAACCCTCAAAAAACTAATAATATAACAAAATTTCATTACAAAATTTTATTTTTTTTATATAATAATATTTTTTAATTTTTTATACAATACTTTCTCAATAAAATATTTTTAATAATATTGGCATCTTTCCATGCAGGTCTTAGGAGTTAGGCATCAATACCTCAAACTGAAAACCGAACTAAATTATTCGGGAGTGGGATTAGTAATTTTAGGGATTTCGAGATCTAGTATTATTGTATTTCTTAATAGGGAAATTTTTTTTCCATTGGAATGGACGTTAATTTGGATCGAAAAAGAAATTCAAAAAATTAGTGATAGGATTTTAACGATTGGGGAAGATATTTTAGGAAATTATTATGATATTGTATCTCGTTATCATTATGGAAGGTAGTATTTTCATCTAAATCTTTTAGGAGTTTGTTTCATACAGTAGTTTAAAAATAGTAATTAATGTCAATAACTTAAATAACTCAATGATAATCTCTTTTCGTTGAAAATAAGATATCTGAATTTGAGTCACATGACATATAAGTGGGGTAAGATAAGACAAGAGAGATAATTACCTTTCATTGTACAATCAAAATTTTAAAAAGTAACTAATAATTTTATTTAATTTAAAATTTAATAATAATAATTAATTTAAATATTTTTACTCATTAAATTAGAGAAATTTATTAATTATTAGTTTAAAACTATTATATCAAATAACTTCTTAATCTTCTTTAATAAAGATTAGGGTAAAAAATCGCTCATACTATTTATGATATTAATTTTAGGCATTGGGACCTATAAAAATAATTAAGTATCTAGGGAGTATATATAATAGTTTTTGGGTTTATAAGATTTCCGGAACTATTTATTATAATATTAGACTAATATAAAATCTTGATAGGTGTTGAGTGAGGTCAGTGCCAGTCATTCCTTATTCCATTTTCCCTTGCTTTTAAACTTGTAATTATGAATTTTATTAATGTAATTCGTTAAGCATAAAAAAATAATTATTATAATTATTAATTATTTTTAACTATTAAATTAAATGAGATTAATATTTTAAAAGATATAATTTAAAATTTTCTATAATCCAATAATTTGTTGTCGTGGCATTCACTGTTTCTTGAAACCTAAGGTAGTTACCGGTAATACTGCCACCTTACACTCATCAACTCCTCTTTATTTCTCATTAATTATTAATTTTGTGCAGGTGAATATTATGATAAGAAAAGAAATAAAAATTAAGTTAAATCTCTAATTTGGTCCCTTAATTATTGTATAAACTTTTGATTTAGTCCCTCAATTAAAAAATTTCTGATTTAATCCTTATTATTTACCAATTTGATCTTAAGTTGGTCTTTTCATTAAAAAATAGTTGATATATCTATTATTTAATGATAGAAAATCATTAGTTAACAGTCATGTATTATGTTAATAATGAAATACGTTATCTATTTTTGTATGAAAGGATTAATTTAGAGTCAAATTGATAAACAGTAAGGATTAAATTAAGAATTTTTTTAGTTTAAAGACCAAATTAAGGGTCTGTCAATAGTTGAGGGACTAAATTAAAAGTTTAACCTAAAAATTAAAATATCTTAATATTTTAAACTTATAAAATTATATAAATATTTTTAATAAACTTTTTTTACATATTCATTCACTTAAAATCCCTTTTTTTTTTTT